AGGAGGAGGAGGAGGAAGAGGAGGAGGAAGAGGAGGAGGAAGAGGAGGAGGAGGAGGGTAACAGGGGAGGGGAGGCCGAGAGAACATCTCTGGTTGTCTCTGAGCACTGAGGAAGCTGCCCCATCCTCAGGCTTCTGGCTCCTTTCAGATGATCCCACTCCAGATCCTGGAGGCTTCAAGATTCCTCAACTCTCCTTTCCTTCCTTGACCTGAATCACAGCTTTCAAGCCATCTCTGCTCCTTCTAAAGACCCTTCTGACCCAGCACAATGGCAGTTGTGTCCTGCTGTCATCCACAAGAACCCACCTCCTCTCAGGGGGTGCAGCTTCTAGGCCAAGGCAGGGTGGTTAGTCTTCCTTACCCATGGCCATGCTGTGGGTGGCATGCCCAGCTGAGCAACGCCACGCAGACCAGGTGCTGACCCCTGGCAGCCAGGTGGGCAGAGGCCCCCATGTTGGCGACTGCCCTGGCATGTCCGCAGTGCAGTGACCTGGCTGTTCTCTTTGAGAAGCCTGCTTTCTGGCTTCCTAGGGAGAGGCTGAGGAGTGGAAGGGAACAGAGAAGATAATGGCTTATAGTAATCCAGGAGCTTGTGATATAGAAATTGGTGACACAGCTTTAAGCCCCTCCATTTCATTTGGGGAGGCCTGCCAGGTGGGGTTCTAAGTTTATAGCTTCCATTGCCACACACTGAGCTGTAAACTATCCCTTAAGCTTGCAATGGCACAAGTATCTTGTAGCGATCATTGAATTCATATTGGATGGAGAGGCATAGCTACACAAGACTTGTGTTTATGTGGCTAAGAACCTAGGTGGCACATACCCCTTTCTATCCACTGGTCACTGTGCGCACTTCAGAGTTGGTGTGTTCAGGGTGGGGCCTACACACATCCTCTACCCTGAGTTTCTGTGGGAGATCAGGTCATGGAAAGTAAAGCTAAGTCAGCATGATGGGTGTACTACATTCGCTGACTAGAGCTCAAGGTGGGTAGACAAAGGCCCAGTGTTCCAGGCCGCGCTCAGCATTGCTGTGCTTCCCGAACCGCTCCTCATCACTGGCTACTGAGAGGGAGGCTCACGCTCATCTCTGCCAAGGTTGCACAAACTTCCAATGGCAGAAGGTGGGCTCTGGGCTCCTGGGTCCCTCTGCTTCTCTCAGTGGACTCTATGCTCACAGGTGATTTCATTTGGGCTCCTCTTTCCTCCGTAGGTATATTTTGTAATGGAACATTCGATCGGTACGTGTGCTGGCCTCACTCTTCTCCTGGAAACGTCTCTGTTCCCTGCCCTTCATACTTGCCTTGGTGGAATGAAGGTAATGAGTCTCATTTTACCAATCTCTGACAGTTTCTTGCCAAGGCGCCTTCCTCCTGGGTACGGCAGCCGTTAGCTATTTAGAGAAAGGGCTCCACTTGAGTATATTTCCTCAGTCCTCTGTCCCACAGAGGTCCTTGTCTAGGCCTTCGGTATGATATCTTCCTTGTCCTCTTGTCTCCTGAAATGTTTATATTCTTTGCATTCCATTTATTTAGCAGCTCCTTTTACCATGAATGTTACAGAGTGTAGACCTGGCTACCACAGCCAGAGTCTGGCTACACAGAGGGTTGAGAATGGTCACATTTGAACAGAAAAGAGAGCATGTGATGAAAGACTGAAAAGCTCACATCATGCAACTTTGGCTTTGTTAGACTAGCAAAGAGATCTTTGACCCTTCTTCTGTCCCAGCCTTGGAAGGAGATGCCACTGAATTAGAGCTTTTAAGGTTCACGGGGCTTAGATGAAGAATTTAGGCACTCTACCTGCTCTAGTCATGATTAAAGAAAGTGAATACTGTTACCTACAGACCTAGGTTAACACTCCACCCTTCCTACCACAGAAGCCCAACCTCTTGGGCATTTTATTCTGGAAGGGCAGAAGAGCAATTATAAGTTAGAGTTTTCTTGTCTCTGACCAAAGATTGCAGGCAAATATAAAGAGAGCTGAACCTCTTCTCAGGAAATGTAAGCAAATGTGAAGGTCCAGGAAAAACAAGGTGAGGAGGAGTTTCTGAGAAAGCATCTTATAATCTTATATTCAATTTCAGCCCAATGATATTTCATATCCATGGTACTTTGGTTTCAATATTACAAGGATAAAAGAGTGGAGAGAGAAGGAGGATGAAGAGGCAGAGGAGGAGGAAGTAGAGGAGGAGGACAAGAGACAGCTCCCTGTGAGAGAGTTAGTGACATATTTTGTGGGACTGTCTTCTGATGAAACCTAGTTGAAATGAATCCAGTAAGCAAGAGGATGTGAGGTTTCTGGAGGGCCAGGCTAGAAGGTGCTAGAGACTTGCTGTGGCAAAGGGGTCTGAATTACTTAAGCAAACGGTCCCCATAAAAACCACCCTACAGTTACATATTTTTACACAGAAATTTAGAAATCTAACCATATACAGCATTGTAGCAGGACAGTCCTCTGACATTCTTTTTTCTTGTCTCTTGTTTTCATTTATTACCTTTGTTTTAAACAAACATTTACTTGAGAGACAGTATGGCAGTAATTGGTATGCCATGACAAGCAGTACATATTTAGAAGACCAGAATGACAGGCATTCCAAGCATGAACCTACCGCTACACATTGGAATACCCATCTCTGACAAAACTAAACAAAAAAGGGGGATACAAACGAATGGCCATTTTGTATCTGTATACTCAAAATAGTTAGGATAGATATACAGCTGCATTCTCTTAATTCAGTGAATAGAAAGATTTGTTCTAATAGTGTCTGTGGACAAGATATCATGTCTGCATCTTTTACAGTGAATAACCACTAAGACAACAATATGCAATTGTATTAACTATTGAAACTGCGCTAGCAATCGGTTTTGAAACTGTCTCATTGCTATTTGTTTCTCAATAAAACTATTAAAAATAAAATAAAATAAGAAGAAATAAAAGCCACGCTGCAGAGGGGATGGTATGGAGTGAGAACCCTGAGGTTAGACTCAGTGCCTCCAGTTTGCATTTTGAAACTTTGAGCGTGTTGCTTCCTCCCCTGTGCTTACCTTCTATGTAAAATGAAATGAATAATTGCTCTCAAATTCTTTCTAAAGAACGAATGAGAAGGGGCACAGAGATTCTCCCACCTGGTAGGGATTTGGTCAATGGGTGCTGAAGCTGAGTTCAAAGTTGAGACTGGTGGGTTCCTTCAGGAAGATCCCAAATACCCATGCATTCCTCAAAGGCACATGGAATAGGCTCCCAGCTCCCAGCTCCACCGTCCATCTGGTCCTTCCCAGGAGCTAAAGGACAGGGCTACTCCACTTCTGGAGGAAAAAGTGGTCCAAAGCCCAAGATTACAATGCAGTGGAGTTAAAAGCTTTTAAAATTGCATACTAAAAGGAATGTGGTTTGCCAGAGGTGGAAAGTGACCTTCCTGCTGAATATTTTTTTTTTACATCATTTATTTTATTTTAAAGAAAAAAAATATAAAAACAATGGTACAAAAATCTCAAAACAAGATTTTAGGAGAGTAACAATGGTTAGTACGTTGTGTATTATTACTGCCAAAGTAGTTTCTCATTGAATATTTTTGATATTAAAAAATGTAGAATAATGATTTGAGAGAAAGTTAAAAGAAAAAAACATGATATGAGAAGGGAGGAGGTCAAGTGATGCTTATTTGCTGCAGGGGCATCCATGACTGACCATGAGGACAAGGGCCGACTGTGAAGGAGAGCATGTGTGACCAGGGCTCCTCTGTGGGAGAAAGTTGTGCAGAGCTGGGCGGTCACGAGGGCAGGAGGAGCACACAGGACATAGTGGTGTGTGAAGACAGCATTGACGCCAGATAACTGTTAGGCTGAGAAAAGGAGGAGAATCAGGAAGGTGCCTCCCTGGCCCAGAAAAAGAGATGACAGGGTTTAGATTCAGGCAGAGGGGAAAGGTTTGGAGAGAGGGAGAAAGGATCAAAGAAGAGGGGTGGGGTGGTCAAGACTTGGAAGGAGCAGAGACTGAAGGATAAGAGAGAAGTGGAAAATAGAGAAAAGGAAACAAGCTGCTTTCCCTGTGTTCTCCAAGTTGGCCAGTCACGCACTCCGCCTGGGCCCACTCTTGCTCACACCTCCTGCGGTTGGCAGCAGGGTCCTTGGCTCCTCCTCCTCCCACCCCTGCCGATACATTGGGGTAGGTGTGCAGCTGTACCCTGGGAGCTGCTTCCGGTCTCCCCTTTGTTCCCAGCCTCTGATTGGACACGTTCAAACGGCCCTTCACCAAGCTTTTGAAAATGCCAGACTGTTGGTTCCCATTGTAATACAGACAGCATGTGTGACCTCTGTCACCCGGCCTTGCTACCCGGCCTAGCACCCTCTCCTTTCCTCCTTCATTCCCACCCCAGCCAAAAGAACAGCTCCTCTGGCCCAGCTCTTGGCACTCAGGGCCTGTGCCCACCCCTCTGCCCGGCCGCCTCCCACACTGTTGTGCCTGTAAACTGCACCTCTCACCTCAAGTTTTTCATCCTTCTAGCAAGTTTCTCCAGCTTCTCCCTATGATACAACGAACCTCTGCCTTTCTAAGGCCTCTTCCACATCTGTCAGGTCTCTAGGTTAGCAGTTCGTGGCCTTTTTATTTGTACTCTCCTGGCTAGAATTCGAGCTGGGCCCTTTCCTCCTGGATTCTTGAGCAGCAAACATTTTGATAGACACAGAGAACAGAAGGATCAATGACATTATTGTTATTCAGTCAGTCAACATTTTTTTTTTTTTTTTTTTGAGACAGGGTCTTGCTATGTAGTTTAGGCTGGCCCTGAACTCACTATGTAGCCCATGCTGGCTTTGAACCTTCTTGCCTCAGCCTTGAGAGTGCTGGGATTACAGGCGTGTGCCCCCATGCCTGACTTACAGCAAATAGTTTTTAAACAACTACAAGTGTGTCACGTATTATTTGTAAGTACTTGGATTGTATTAGTGACTAAAACTGAATGATATCCTCACTTGTGGGACTCATATTCTAGCAAGAGAGAGAGAGAGACATTAATAAATAAACATCATATAGATAAATATAAATAAGATGTATTTAAAATAAGATGGAGGGCTGAAGAGATAGCTAGGTTATCTAAGCACCTGCCTGGCAAGTGCAAGGACCCAGGTTTGATCCCTGGTACCACATGCCATGCTGGCCCTGTGCCAAGCCAGACACTGAAACTATATGTGGTGGCACACACCTGTAATCCCAGCACCGGGGAGGCTGAGATAAGAGGATCACTATGAGTCCAAGCTGCAGTAGCAAGACCCTGTGTCAAATAAATAAATGAAAGATTTTTTTAAAAAGATAAGATGGAGCAGCAGTAAGGGGTGGGAGGACTGGAGTTGGGGAATGAGTCAAAATCATAAATTGGGTGGTCTGGGAAGGTGTCAGTGACTACGTGGTGTTCTGGAAAAGGCCTATGGGGAAGTGTGTTCAGCACAGAACACAAGGTCCGAGGTGAAGACTGTGGTGGGTCTATTCCTAAGAGAGAAGGAGGCCAACACTTCTAGGGTCAAGAGGAAGAGAGGGAATAGAAGATTTGAACACAGATATTTGGGGCCAGATCTTATAGGGCTTTGTGGAAGTCATAAAAGGACACTTATTTGTTCTTAAGTCTTTGGAGTCTTAACCATCCAGCAGAAAAATATAAAAATGAGGTATATAAAGTAAATCCATATTAATATGATGAGCTGTAAAAGGCTCGTCAATAACTTCTGAGAATAACCCACTAATATTATAGACTGCTAGACAGTGTTAGATTGTTTAGTTGAATTCAAACACCTATAGTAATTAGATGCCAATAGAACATTCACCTCTGACAGGACAAAAAAATGATACAAAGGAAAGATCATTTTGTATTTATATATACAAAATAGGATAAATTTACAGCTACTTTTGCTTAATTCAATGAGAAGAAAGAGGTGTACTAACAGTGTTTGGACAGAATATCTTGTCTGCTTCTTATACTATGGATAACCACAAAGAAGATAACAATGTACAGTGTATTGATTATCAAAACTATCCTATGAATCAGTTGTGAAACTGTCTCATTCATATTTATTTCTCAATAAAAAAAAGTCTTTGGAAGATTTTGAGCAGAAGCATGGCTTGATGTCAGTGACATCTGATCTAGTTCGTGGGCTTCTGGGCTACCCACAGATGAGAGGGGAAGACTGGTGGATGAATCTGCACCTTAGGTGGCAGAGGATGACTCCAAGGCGGAGAGATGCGGGAAGGGAAAGCAGCAGCTAGATTCGACATGTATCTTGAAGTAGAGATGATTGGCTAATAGATCGGGTGAAGGCTACAGAGATGAGAGAAGGCAGGGATGATCATGGCGGTTGGGGTGAACCCATGGCCCGCGTGTTTTCTTTTAAGATAAAAGATGTTAACGTATGAGTAGCTTTTTCTAAATGAAAGCCTCCAGATTCAGGGTGATGTGCAATGTTGGCACTTTGTAAATAAGTGGCTTTGGGTACTCACATCTATTGCTTTTTTTCTTTCTTTCTTTCTTTCTTTTTTTTTTTGGAGAACCGGGGATTGAACTCAGGCCATTGCGCTTGCCAGGGAAGCGTTTATTCCACTGAGTCATCTCCCTGGCCCCTGCTCTTTTCTTTTCTTTCTTTCTTTCTTTCTTTCTTTCTTTCTTTCTTTCTTTCTTTCTTTCTTTCTTTCTTCCTTCCTTCCTTCCTTCCTTCCTTCCTTCCTTCCTTCCTTCCTTTTTTTGCAGTGCTGGGGATTGAACTCAGGACCCTGCCCTTGCCAGGTAGATGCTTATGCCACTGAGCTATTTCCCCAGCCCTTGGCCACTCATCTCTAAAAGGTTTGCCATCACTGCTCTAAGGTTTTGGGTCAGAGGACTGAACAGGATGGGTTTGCCCCCTCCCCCCATTGAGGGAGGAAGCTAGGGTAGTAGAGCAGATTTAGTAAATAAGATGAAGAGCTCAGTTTGATGCATAGCATTTGAGATGTCAATTAGAAATCCTAGCAAAGCCGTGGGATAGGCAAGTGAACTGATTGTGTGGATACCCATCAACGAGTGGAGCAAAGAGTTACTGCTGGCATATGGTGTATAGGATCTGGACTTGAAAATTCCAACAAATTTCCATTGCTTATTTGCAAATCCAGTCCCTGATTCTCCAGGGAGGAGGACTTTCGGGGAGAGGTTCCCGGGGCAGATATGCCTGGGTCACAGCAGCATACAGCATAGCAAGGTGACTTACCCGTCCTTTACACACACACACACACACACACACACACACACACACACACTTTCATAAAGTCTTTTCTCAAATTCTAGAGGGTGGACACAATTATTGCCCTCAGTTTCTGGGGCTCAGGAACTAGTAGGCTCAGGAGCTGGCAGCCTGGACCTAGGACACCACCGTCTCAGTAGGTGGCACATGAGGCTTCAGGCCCAGGTCAGTCTGCTCCGCGCTCACTGCTTTCTCTTCTTCCTGGCTGGTGTGCCTTCCTGGCTGTCAGGAAAAGATGCCCCCCTCTAAGCAGGCACTAGAATCCAGGTTAGTGCCTCCCAGCAGGGCTGTGCCTTACTCAGGTTATAACATCTCTGAGTCACCCAGAGCTGTTCTAACTCTGGAGACTTGAGGTAAACACAGCAGGCTTCAGTGGATCCTGGTTTGTTATGAAATCTAGAAGCTTCTGTGTTTTCCTTTCCACCCAAATAAACAGCTGGGATGCTAATGAGCCCCCAAAGGGGGAAACGAAATTCCCTTTTCCCTGGGATTTTCCACAGTTCTACAGCTAAGGCAAGGGCTTTCCAGCATGCTGGGGGAATGGGCTGTATGTTCTGACCTTTCCTCTAGAACTTTGTTTACTTTCAGAGAGCTCAGGAAGGGCCTATAGACACTGCCTGGCCCGGGGGACTTGGAAGACACGAGAGAACACCACAGATATTTGGCAGGATGACTCTGAATGCTCCGAGAACCATAGCTTCAAACAAAACGTGAGTCTGCCCAGCTCGGTGATAAGGCGTCCAGGGCCCAGGCCACCCTCTTTTAGGCAGCTAGGTGGCCAGCCAGCTTTAGGGCTCATACAAAGAAGTGTCCTCCAACACATCGGCCCCAAACTCAGCTAAGGAAGGTCCACAGTCACTCACAGCAGTGCCTCCTGACAGCCACTGAATTCTCGTGACTAGGGTGAGATGTGAAATCCTAAGGGAAATTAGTCTCCCAGGCTGATTCTAGCCTTTGCATTTGTAGCTCCCTATCCCCAGGACAGGTGCCCAGCTCTCCTGTGGCTGACTCCTTCTCATTATTCAAATTCAGTTCAAATGTCTCCTTTGATCTCCATGGCCACCCCATCCAGAATGGCCCCCATAGTCACCTTCTATGGCAATCCTGATGTAGTTCTTTTACTGCACCTGTTACTCCCTGAAACTGTCAGGTGTTTGCTTATTTGTTATGTAGTTCTTCCACCAGACTGCAGATCCAATGGTCTCAAGGGGCTGTGTGCTTCAGGGGAGGCAGCACAACATGGTATGTGGGGTCAGACAGGCCACATATTCAGACCATGTATTCAGACCGACTTCATTTCCTGGCTAGGAACTTGGTGCACACTGCTTTACCTTTCTTCCTGTGCCTCTTTCCTCATCCATTCCAAAGGGATTTTATTTGCTGCATGTGATCATTCTGAGAATTTAGAGAGTCAACCGACATAAATTTCCTAGAAGAAAATCTGACATGTAGTCAGCCAGCTCTGAGCAGGAGTTACTGCCCCATCACCAGGACCCAGCGTTAGTCACAGCTCAGCAAATCATTCTGGCAGTCAGGATGAGCGTGCAAATTCCTGATTCATACTTTTTTCCATGTGAGTTTGCTCCAGAATCCTATTCTGCAGTTGCTTCAGGGCCGGCTCTTCTACTTGCTGGCCTCCTGTTGTTCTTCCCAGTCATACAAATCCCACATGTGTTCCTTCAAAGACAGGTGGAATAGAGGCAGGTGGCTCAGAAGGAAGGAGCAAAGGCTTTGCACAAAGCACCAGGAATAGTGACTGAGACACAGACACTGACTGCCTGGAACTTAGAGTCTCTTAGAACATGGAGGGAGGGTAATAACTAATGGGACAGAAGTATAGGATGCCCAGGGTCACAGCAGAGGTGGACACTCATGCTGATGGGGGCAGAGAAGCTGGCCCAAGCTGAAGGTGGGAAAGAGATGCCTGTGGGAAGAGTGAGAGCAAAAAGGGAGAAGGTTCCCACTACTAGCGTGAGATGCAAAGCCCTAAGGGAAGTGGGTCTCCAGCTTGGTCTCTGCCTTTATACTTGCTGTTTCTGTGGTTGGGACATGCTTCCCAGCTCTCCCGAGGCTGGCTCCTCTTCATTCAGGTTTTAGGTCAATGTCTCCTTCAAAGAGGAAACTCTGAGGGCTGCTGGGCAGAGGAGGTAGAGTTCAGCAGGACACAGGTGGAGCCAGAGACCTCAAGAGTGGTGGGATGGGGAAGGCCCTCTGTGTGCTTGAAGCTTTAGAGCTCTGCAAGCTCAAGTGTGGAAGGAGGATAACCTAACATAGGTGTTGACAGGATTGCTCTGGCAAGTTGGAGAAGGCTGGGGCTGCCAGGCAGGAGGTAGGAGGCAGGGCAACCAGTAGAATCTAGCTCTTTAACTCAGCCCAGATGTGAGGAGAATGCTTGTGGAATAAAATGAAAGAGGGTGGGTTTGCAGGTTTCCAAGGAGGCAGATGGTAAAACCAGGTGCTGGAGGGCCTGGGAAGGTGGGGTTGAGAGCGCTAACGTCAGGCTAATGCAGTGGACCTCTAAGGAGATGCGAAATGCACCTCATTGAGATAGGGGAATACAGGAAGTCATCATGTGGTGGCACATGCCTGTAATCCCAGCACTTGGTAGGCTGAGGCAGGAGGATTGCTATGAGTCCAGGGTCATCTTGTGCTACACAGAGAAACCCTGACTCAAAAACAAAAACAACCCATAAAAGATGGGGTTGATAAGCCCTCTTTGCCTTGCTGCTTTGTTAGTCAACTTTGTGTTATTGTAGTAGCTGAGATAAACCACTTGTAAAAGGAAAGGAAGTCCCACTATGACTGCTTGGCTCCGTTGCCTGTAGCATGAGGCAAGGCAGTACAACATGCTTGAGCAGGTGGCAGAGGAGCCTGCTCACCCCACGGGAGCCAGGAGGCCAAGGCACAGAGGGCGCGCCCCCTGTGACCTAACTTCCTCCCCAAAGGCCCCGCCTCTTAAAGGTGCCACCACTTTCCAATAGCTCCACAGGCTGGCAACCAAACCTTTATTTAATACATGCGCTTTGTGGGACACCTCCAAGCCCTACAATCCTAGTTCAGAAGCTTGAGGGGGAAATTAATTACAAGTTACTAGTTCATGGGTTAGAATCAATTAGACACGCAAAGGTTACCATTATTACATTTCTTTTCAGCATCTCTTTCTTGGTCCCTGTCCTCCCTGGCCTCTCCCTGGTGTGTGATTAGGACAGTAGATAATCTGTCAAAGTGAAGTTTGGTGTCTATAACTGTGGCTTTTCTGTAATGCAACTTTTCATTTGACTATCAAAAATCAAAAACAGTTTTCTGTGAAGCTATGAAGGTCAACTTACAGAATGTATCATTTTATTTATTTATTTATTTATTTATTTATTTATTTATTTATTTATTGTGGCCAGCTTAGCCTGCCCTGGGGGCGGGATTGTCACAGTATGTGGTGCTGGGGATCAAACCGCAGTCCTGAGCTTGCCTAAGCTTGCCTAAGCAAGTGCTTTAGTCCACTGAGCTATCTTGTTGGCCCCCATTTTATTTATAAATCTGGCAAGTTTTAATATTTCTAAGGATGCCTTTGATTTTTGTTGCCATTACATACTATTTAAGTACCATTTTCCATGTTGAGCTTCATTAGCACATTTAAGATATAAGATGTTTGAAGTATTTTAAATATCTTAAATATATGCTACCACAAGCAGGTATTTCCTAATTCTTGTGTAATTCTAGTCAAGTGAATATATTAAGTTTGCGGGGCTGGGGAGATAGCTCAGTGGAATAAGTGCTTCCTTGGCAAGCGCAAAGACCTGAGTTCAATCCCCTGTTCCACAAAAAAAAAAAAAAAAAAAAAAAAGATTGCATACTGAGCCTTAAATATTCTTAAATGTGTTGGTACAGTTTGCATTAAATTTCTACTTATAGTCTAAATCATGTCCCTATTGATATATTTCATATTAGAATTATAATGTTAATTGAGTAGATCCTCTACTATACTGTGTTCTCTAAATAGTAATACCAAATGTATATGGTTTGTGCAAGTAATTTAAAAATCCATATGGAGAATGGACAGAAGAACAGGCATGTCATAATGTCAAATTAAGTTTAATTTTAGAATCCCTGGCACCACATGCTGCATCAGCTCTGCCCCCAGGTGCACTGAGCTGGCCACCGAGACTGGGCGTGGTGGCACAAGCTTTTAATCCTGGCATGGGAAGGCTGAAAACAGGAGAATCACTATGAATCTGAGCTGCATAGTGAGACCCTGTATCAAATACATAAACTGAAAAAAAAGTTTAATTTTAGAATCTGAGTGGCATATATATGAGGTTTTTTTAAAATGAATTTTTTTCAAATTTGCTGTATATTTAAAATATTTAATAACAAATATTAAGAAACTAAGAAAAAATACTATGAGTTTGACACAAAACTATTCATAATGTAATGGTTTGGTTAACCTTTGGCTTGGCTAAGACAAAAAACTAAAATTTACACACTAAGGAAAAAAATATTGTCTCAAGAAAAGAGATTTCCATCACAGGGGATACGGCTTCCCATAGACCACCTGGTCTGGCTGTCAGAGCCAGTAGAGTGACTGTGCCAGGAAATATTTAACAACCAGCCCACTTCATGTACTGCTGGGAGAAAAAGGGCTCTGGTTTGTAACAGTTGCCAATTGCTGTGGTGTAAATACTCCCACTGTACCAATTTTAAGCTGACAATATGATGTCACTGAATATAGAGTAGGAAAGATTTGGGTGGTGAGCACTAACAGACCAGCGTAACAACAGCACGAAGGCCACCAGGATGTTATTTCCCACTCTGGCCAACACATTGAGCCCCAAGTCAGTGTCTCTTGGAGGGTGTTGATCATCCTCAAATACAAGGTACAGTACTGCATTACCTAATTATTTCTCCCTATGGGAGTCTTTAATATTTGTGACTTAGTTATTTGAGAGAGGAACTGACACGTTCTTGGCTTTCTTAAGTATCTGCTGTCTTCCCATCATTGTTAAAGGCCTTCCACAGATCCACCACCTCTTTTAAACCTTATTATTTTCTTTGACCGGATGGCAGAATTCTGTGCTCCGTAGCCAGTTCCTTACTATATGATGGGTCACTCCTCTTAAAGGGATCAAAGTGACACCTGTAGTTGGATTGAGTATGGTTCATCTCAGAAACTGGCTTGGCTTTTGTCATAGTGCCATGGCCGTGCTAATTGCATGCCTTGAGTTAAGAAAATTGTGTGGGCTTTTATCTTCCTTCCTGGACTGTGAACTGTTTAAGAACAATCACAAAGTTATAGTCATACTTGAATGTCACCCCTAAACTCCTGACCTAGGGTTGGGACACGACAGCTTTTACATACATTGAGCACTTAATACTGGGTAAAGGGCTTCACAAATTCAGTACTGGTGTCAGTACTGGTGCTGAAGTTTCCCAGGTGGCCCTCATGCTGCCAAGATTGAGAACTGAGTACTCACGAGTGTATGCCTGGCATTGATCCATCAAGGCACTGTCCAAACCAGCGAATAGAGACAGTGAAACAAGACCCGAAAGCTGAACCTTCAAGGACAGGAAATAAAGGTTCTCTGCTTTAGAAAAGTGAGGTCAAGGATATTGCTTTCTTCCCTCTGCAAATAGCAGTATTTCCAAGAATTCAAACACACACACACACACACACACACACACACACAATTAAAAAAAAAGACTTTCGGGCCATGTT